TATATAAAAGTATTTATATCCAAAGTTGATTGGACCTATGGCATAATACTTACAACAATCCTATAGTGGCATGATGGAGCGAGCATGTGTTTGTACTTGTTAGCATATTCCCAAATTTCTATTTGGATTAGGTTTGGGTTGTTTGATTAATAAAGGAGAAATAAATAATTTTGGTTTGAAAGTTCGGTTTGAAGAGGGATCAAATTTCATTAAGAAATGGAAGTTTGTTTGGAAGGACTTTGGAATGAAGAAAAACAACTTTGGAACGTGTTAGGGTCAAGATGCGATGCCTAAGCGCTAGACAAACAAAAGAACAGCAGCCTGGCATCGAGGCGCAAGGGCATCATTACGGTGCCGGGGCTCTGAGGTGCCACCTATTCGGGAGGAATCTGATTTTGACAGTGATTATTCTGCTCCATTTCATCCGAAAATACCAAAATTGAGCTCCTATATACTCCATATTTTGAGATAGATTGAAATTCTTGCCAGATTCTTTTGTATTTCTTTGATATTGATTAAAGTGAATTCTCTGCCTTGTCCATGGGTTTTTGATTTGAGTTTTCAAATTAAATCTTGTGTTCTCTTATGCTTTTTTTTTTTTTTTTTTTTTTTTGCGTATTTTTTTGGTTTTAACATTCATAACATTTGGTATAAGTTCTATTACCGGATTATTGCAAATTGGATTACTTTTCCAACACATTGGACTCATCAGTATCATAAACTTGCATTAACGAAGAGCCTTTAAGCACCGCCTCTATCGTCGCCAGGCATCGCTGTGAATTTCCCGACCATATCAATCCAACAGATTCGTATATCGGACTGATGATCCTCTCACATGCTTTATACAACAACACTTCTTGTGGGTTTTCGTATATATACTTGGGCGAAGATTAACATGGTTGAAATTGATGAGATTAATTAGTCCAGGTCGACCATAGACAAGGAAGAGAGTGGAGTCACTTGAGATTCAAGGATTTTGATCCATTGAAGACAAGGCCGAGAGTGCAGTCACCACTGCAACCTTTGTGAAGGACTCTGAAACCATTGCAACTCATTCTCATAAGAGAGAGAGAGAGAGAGAGAGAGAGCTTGCATTTTTGCCACTGGTTTAGGATGGAAATAGATTTGCACAGTATATTATGGTACTTTATTTTTTATTTTGCTGGTGGCAGTGGCGGTTACTGTGGTTTTGGGTAGGAAGTACGTGGGGTTATTGGAGATGAAATATATTTTTTCTTTTTCTTAATTGAAACTCATTTGCAATTTTTGGAAAAAATAAATAAATTAATCAATTCTTTTTTTTCTTTTTGTTTATTTAAAAAGAAGGTAAATTCATCATTTTATAAGATTTTATGGATAAAAAAATGAAGAAAATGTTGTATTCCGTGAAGTTTGGGTAATTTAGGGGTGGTTTTGTTTCAAAATGAAATGTTAGGAGTTACTACACAAAATAGGTAAATGTTAGGGGGTATTGTGTCAGTTACTTTGCTTAAGTGACGAATTGGACAATAAAGAAGTATTCGCAAGGTTCGGCCCATTTAAGGGGATTTTGCACCAAATCGAAAGGAGATGGAAATAAGGAAAATTTCATAAGTGAGAAATTAAGTATGGTATATTTCAAATTTAAAAAAATAAGTTTCAAAATTCAAAAATTAGATTTTTATTTAAATTTATTTATGATTTAATTATTTTATTAATCATGTTATTAATTTAATATATTTAAGTTACAGATCTATACAATTTGGTCACGAATTAACAATTTAATTACTAATTTATTATTTTTTGGTCATAAATCAAAAATTTTATCTCACAAATTATTTTACGATCACAATTCAAAAATTTTGAAGGTCACAGTTTGTTCATCGGTCACAAATCAAAAAATTAATTAATCACGAATTAATTTTTAGTCACAACTTATTTTTCGATCACAAATCAAAAAATTTATAGGTCACATTATTTTTTGATTACGAATAAAATTTTTTATAGGTTACAAATTATTCATTAGTCGCAAAATCAAAAAATTAATTAGTCACAGATTAATTTTTAGTCACAAATTTATTAAATTATTGGTCACAACTTATTTTTCGATCACAAATTAAAAATTTTCTGGGTCACGAATTATTTTTTCGATTACAAATAATTTTTTTTACAGGTCACAGATTAATAATCGATCACAAAATTAAAATTTTTATTGGTCACAACTCATTTATTTATTGTAAATTATTAGATTAATTGGTCACAATTAATTTTTCAATCACAACTTAATAAATTATTTAGTCACAGTGACAATTTTCAACCAATTTATTGGTCACAAACACAGTATAACACCACCTCACTACCACTACCACTACCACCACCACAATCTCACCCATCCTAACCTACTCTACCACTGCTACTACCACAACCGGCAATTCACTACAACCACTATCAACACCGACGATAACACAGCTAGCAACTCACCACAACTGTCGTCGTCGCTACCAATGCAACCTAACCCAAACTCTACCATCTTGCAGCCCTACTACCCTTCTCGCAGTGCCAGCACCACCATCATCAACACCAACAGCGCCTCCACCGCCACAACATCACCACTATCCAATCATCTCATGTGCGACAAAAAAAAGAAAAACACAATCCACTGGAACAACAAACACAGCATAACCCAGACTCGACCATCCCGCAGCTCCGCTCCGCTCCACTCCACTCCACTCCACACGAAGCCACCACAGTCATCAACACCAACGACGCCTCCACCACCACGATGTTACCACCATCACTTGTGACGACCACCACTTCCAACAGCACCACCGCCATCGTCATCGCCAGAACCGCCCCCGTCACCAACAACATCACCGTCGCTAAAAACAAACACCAAATAGCGTCACCCATTCCACCAACACAGTGGCAGAAACCAACCACCACAAATATCGCACCTCACCCGCCATCAACCACCTGTACTAACACCACACCACACTGCCAGATCCGATCATCATCACCACCACCAGCCACCCAAAACCACCATCATAGTAATCATCAGATCGCGTCACGCACACCATCCCACACATAAACTCCGGCCACAACTACCACCACCACCATCAACCACTGCACAACAGATTTAATAATGAAAATTCCCAAAATATCAACCACCAGATTCACCCATGCCATTCCACACACAAACCACCTCCCACAATCCTCCGCCACCTACCAATCACAACATCACAACCAGATCTCACCTCAACCAAATCTGTAGAATTGACAATTTACGGCGATACGACGATCAGAGAGAAGAGTTGACTGCCGACGTGCATGAGAGAGAGGAAATTGAGAAAGAGAACAAGAGAGTCGAGTAGAGAGAGACAGGGTATTGAGATTGAAATTATTATAGTTAGGGTTTGTTTAATTAATTTATTTTAGATACATTAATTAATTAGAAAAATTTTTGATGTGTGAAATATAAAACATTGCATCTTATTTAAGAATTGAGAATTTTTAATCCATTAAAATATGTAATTTCCACATGGAAATATTACACAATATAGATAAATGAGGGGGTTTGGTGTCGATTACTCATTTTAAAATTATCCAAATTGACAAACCCAAAAGGCTTAGATGTGTATTCCATGTGTCGCCACTTCCCATGGCGAATTGCAATGTCTTCTCTTTCATTGCATGTGTGGCTGCGATTTCTCCATTCGTTAAATATATTCCTCATCCATCGATGCCCTTTCTTCCCTTTCTTCCCAATTTTGGTCTTTGTGCCACGCAATATGCTGTGTTCGGGGGAGAGAATAAGAAAATTTTCTCTAATCAAGTGATGGGAAATGCTATTTCTTTATTTCTCCGTGGGAAATGGCTACCGCATCGATGTCTCTTTTATGAAATGTCCAATTTTTACAAATATTATAAAGTGGTCACTTTTGATGATAAAAAAAAATAAAATTGCATTTATTATTGATTCATGTTGTAATTGTGTATCGAGATAGTTACAATTGTCTCAACGGAAATGAACTGTCGCGAAGACTTTTGTTTGGTAAATAAGTGCACAATATTTCTATTGCATCAATTCTAAATTGCGATATCATGTCTTGATATATACTGAATCATTTAGAAAATTAATTTCAATTGTATCTTAGAAAAAAATCAAACAAATAAATATATAAGTACACGAAGAATAAAAACATTTGTCAACTTTATGTCAATCCTTCAAAAAAAAAAAAAAAAAAAAAAAAAAAAAAAA